CCATCATCTGTTTGTGCCATACCAAAGTCACTCTTGGTGACAATTTCAAGCAAATAAAAGATCTGACGAGAAAACTACGAACAAAAAAGAGGGCAAATAAAACGGCAAAATTTTTGTGAAGTGGGGAAGAGGAAAACGACAGGCAAATGACAAATAATGTAAATTGCGAGGAGACGAGATTTGTGATTAGGAACCTGGTTGATGTTGAAGATCCTCCCCGGCAACGATGCCAGAAATTCCTTTTGATGTCTACTAGAACAACGTTGGTATTTCCCAAACAGGAAGGGATGATGCAGTATAGCCACGGTAGGTATTTCCCTCAGTGATGAGACCAATGTTATCGAACTAGTAGGAGAAGCTCCTCACAGCACGTAAACAGCACCTGCACACAAATAACAAATACTCGCAACCCGACGTGTTAAAGGGGTTGTTAATCCCTTCCGGGTACGGTGCCTCAAGATAGGCAAAAAAACGTGAGGCAAAAAGTGGTAGATAGGATAAATAGATCAGGGAACAAATAAATTGCAGCAAGGTATTTTTGTATTTTTGGTTTAATAGATCTGAAAATAAATGCAAGAGAAAATAGATCGCAAAGGCAAATATGATGAAAAGAGACCCGAGGCCGTAGGTTTCACTAGTGTCTTCTCTCGAGAAAAATAGCAAACGGTGGGAAAACAATTACTATTGGGTAATTGATAGAACTTCAAATAATCATGACGATATCCAGGCAATGATCATTATATAGGCATCACGTCCAAGATTACTAGACCGACTCCTGCCTGCATCTACTACTATTACTCCACACATCGACCGCTATCTAGCATGCATCTAGTGTATTAAGTTCATGAGAAAACAGAGTAATGCAATAAGAACGATGACATGATGTAGACGAGATCCGTTTATCTATTGTGGAGATATAGATCGCATCTTGTTATCCTTAGTAGCAACGATACATACGTGTCGGTTCGCCTTCTGTCACTGGGATCAAGCACCATAAGATCGAACCAACTACAAAGCACCTCTTCCCATTGCAAGATAAATAGATCAAGTTGGCCAAACAAAACTCAAATATCGGAGAAGAAATATGAGGCTATAAGTAATCATGCATATAAGAGATCAAAGAAGACTCAAATAACTTTCATGGATAAGAACATAGATCTGATCATAAACTCAATGTTCATCGGATCCCAACAAACACACCGCCAAAAGACTTACATCATATGGATCTCCAAGAGACCATTGTATTGATAATCAATAGAAAGAGAGGAAGCGATCTAGCTACTAACTACGGACCCGCAGGTCACAAAGAACTGCTCACGCATCGTAGGAGAGGCACCAATGGAAGTGGTGAACCCCTCCATGACGGTGTCTAGATTGGATCTGGTGGTTCTGGACTCTGCGGCGACTGGAATTGATTTTCGTCGACTCCCCTAGGGTTTCTGGAATATTGTGGTATTTATAGAGCAAAGAGGCAGTTCGGGGGGGGGGGGGCACCCGAGGTGGGCAGAACCCACTTGGGCGCGCATGGGCCTCCTGGCGCGCCCTGGTGGGTGCTGCTCCCCTCGAGCAGCCCCCAGGTGCTTCCTTGGCCCACTGGCTTTCTTCTGGCCCAAAAAATATCCTCCAGGAGTTTCGTTGCGTTTGGACTCCGTTTGATATTGATTTCTTGTGATGTAAAAAAACATGCAGAAAACAACAACTGGCACTAGGAACTATGTCAGTAGGTTAGTACCAAAAAAGATATACAATGACTATAAAATGATTGTAAAACATCCAAGAATAATAATATAACAGCATGGAACAATTAAAAATTATAGATACGTTGGAGACATATCATGGTGCCATTCGCGGGTGGCCAGCGTTGGGCGGCGACGGCACGCTGGTGTGGGGCGCGACGGCTTGGAGGCGAGCGCGGGCGGCGGGGTCGCGCTAGTTGGTCCTTAACGTGTTGGGTTCCACGGCGGTGTATCACTCGTGGCATCGACGAACTGGTCTGGTTCAGCCAGATTTCGGTCCTCATCTGCTGTTGTAGGGGTGGGTCTCCTTGTCGGTGGTGCCCTCGTGCGGCGGCACCCCGGTAGCGGATGGGGTCTGGTGGCCCATGGCACTGGCTGGTGCGTGAGTCCCTCTCTGGTGGTTGCGGACATGCCAACTTTTGTCTAGATCTGGCACTGGGAGTTTGGTCTATGGTGCAAGGCTAGGTGCAACGGCTGCGGCGGTGTGCGTGCTATTGTTGCTGGTCCGGCTCGGCTCCAGCAGTATGGCACGAGCCCGACGCGGTGGTGTTGCTCGGGGTCTCCTGGGTGGCAATGGGGCGGCGCAACTGTCAAGGATTGGTGGTAGCGTTGCGTGGTGGCCACATGGCGGCTGGCGCTTGCAATGGCGGCTGGTCACGTGGATGCGTGCCCGGCGGCTCTAACACTTGGAGCTTTCCGGGTGGCGTGGGCTGGGCTGTGGCCCGGCGTGGCTGCTGCTTCGGCCGTGGATGGCTCCATGATGGTGTGGCAAGTCAGCTACGGCGGCGGCTGGCTTGTCTCGGCGTTAGCTCATCCATAGGCAGCTTGTGTGGGCCTGTGATCTATCTCCTCGTCGTCTGTGATCTATTTCCGTTGAAGGGATGGCCCTCTCCCAACTGTGGCCAATCGCTAGTCTCACGCTCGGGTAACAGGACTGAGCTCGTCTCGCGCCTGGCAGTGGGACCAATCATTATTCTAGTTAGACAATCAAATGGCCCTTGACAAACAACTTGTGACTTGCTATGTAAGTATTACTTCTGTAATTAAGTCTCTATATATAGCTCAGCTCTTTCATTGCATGTATATATAATTGTCCTCACTATATTATGCAGATTGAAGATCGTCGAATGCAGAAAAACACAAATCTATGACATTGAGTTCAGTAACCCAAATATCATAAACAAATGGTTAAAAATAGAGTCTCTGATACCGAGGACAACTTGCTACAATCGTTGCTTCTAAATCAAAACAAAGAGAAAATACTCTTTCCTTACAACTTCAAGTGAGTGCTACTGTCTTGTGCATATTCGGTTTCCCTTACTCGAGGTTATATTAATGTAATTGATGAGTGATGCATGCATGCGTGTGCAGCTTCCACTTTATTCTGCTAGTGATTAAGCTTGATCGGGGAGTAGTAACTGTCTTAGACTCGAGACAAAAAGATCCCAGGACTAGGCGGACATGACTGAAATGCTCCAGAAAAGTTCAATCGATCATTATCTCACCATATCGGCAACTTTGTTAATTTCTTGATATCAAGTAATTATTGTCTTTGCCCCGCAGGGTTTGGAAAGAGTTCACCGGAATTGTTCCGGGACTGCCGAGGGAGCTGCGATTTACACACCCGAAAGTAAGTACTACTAGCTAGTTCCGCGCATCTCCCATTGATTCTGGCTAGTTTCATCAATACCATTTAGCATGCTTGATTATTAGTTTGATTGAACTCTATTTCTCGTAAAGTGCTTGTGGCAGGAAGCCGGGAAGGATTTTGTGGATACTACGTTTGCGAGTTCATCTATAACGCGACGGCCTCTCAGCATGGCTAATCTAGAAAACAATATGAAGTACATAAACAAAAATATTCACAATTTTATTTTATTACCATCATTTGTGTTGAGTTTCATTCATATATATGTATTGAACCCATTCTTTAAATTAGATGTGGCAGATGCGGGATGAACTCCTACCACATGATCGCATACGAGCAATTCAAGAGGAATTGGCGGGATTCTTTCTTGACCACGTCATACCTAAAGCCGGAGAATACCATGTGGAAGTTGAAATCGATTTTAGATGTTAGGGATTGTAAGACATGTTATATTGTATATGTAGTAGCGTCGGATAGATATACGAAAACTTCTCTCCGTATATATATGTTCATGATGATCTTATATAATTAATGGTTCCTTCATTTGCTTACTAGCTAGCGTGTCGAGTTCTCTCTATATGTATAGTAGTTAGCGTCGACCAAGCACGGAGAAAAAAGAGGACACTTTTCTCTATTAGCTAGCTAACACAATATGAAACACTTAAGTTAACCCTCCAAAACCCCCTAACCCCCCCCCCTAAAAAAACAAAAACCCCAACTCCTGCCAGCTGCTGACGCGTGGATGCCTTTTGGTCCCGGTTGCTACCAACCGGGACTAAAGGTCCTCCTACCTGGACGCCCTGCAGTGGCCACGTGAAGCCCCTTCTGTCCCGGTTCGTAAGAGAATCGGGACTAAAGATTTTGGGGCTGAAGGCCCTCTGGAACCGGGACTAGTTCCCCGTTTCTACTAGTGTTTGTTCCCACATCAAAACTTGCATAAGTTAACCTTCATTTATTATTTCCATAAAAAAGTTATATTTATATTTATTAAAATCGTTAATGGCCCATCTAGAATTCCATTAAATTTAGTCGCAGTCTCCGAATATGAAATCTTCTCTCTTGTTTAATCATTTCTTCTTTTCTTTCAAAGATAAACAAACAAAGCGGATGCATCCCTCCCCATCTATAGAAATGAAATGAAACCCAAAAGAATATATATTATCAAAACACATCACGAACAAATTTGATTCTTCTTTTTGAGAGGACAAACAAATATGATTAGTCCCCCTTAGCTTATTTTTGGACATGCTTAATCCCGACAGATCCTGTTGTTTTATATGTCCCACTACTTCTGTTAGTAAAGGGAGGAATAATGCTTGAAGTACTGAAATGCAGGGCACACCTAATCAGATTTCTATGCTGGCTGAACCATAACAGAGGAAGGTCAATATTCCTCTCCTAATTATCTGTTTATTCTCTTAAATGATCTAAAATACAGTATAGACTGTGTCTTCTTGAAAGATCAAACAAATATATATATACTGTCCACAAGGATAGAATGGAGACCAAGAGGGAAGTTCGAAAACACGCATTACAAACATATATGGCTCCTTTATTTTCGTTCTATATTGGAGTAGACTCTGGACATGTTTGGTTTATTCCCGCGAGCTCATCAATTAGCCTGATTTCTTATGCCTGATCTCGATGCCCTGCACGACCAGGCCGCTCTTCCCGTTCAAAGCCTTGGTCTCCGAAACGCCAAAGGACACATCACCATCTTCATCCCCGTCGCAGGTGAAGTCGCCCAGCTCCAGCTCCATCCAGCCATCGCCCCTTTGCCGAGGGAGCACTACGTCCTCTGCACGGCGGTTTTGGCTCATGCTTCTTTGCGGGTTAGGTTGGAGGCAGACCTTGCGGGTCAGGTTGGTGCCTCCAACTCTAATTGATGCCTCTTGGATCGGCGAGTCCAGCCCATAAGAACTGTCGGCCAACTTGTACACGATGTGTGCGGCATAGACTGACCCCTTGGAGAGTATCTTGCTATCTATCTTGCCAGGGATATCCAACCAGCAAACTAACCTGAGTACAGCAGTCTCGGAGAACCTAGAGTCGGACATATGTAGGGTTATGATTCGGACATATCAAGCATCATTGCTGCAAAAATACTCTGAGACGGAATTCAAGTTGGCCTCATCACCAAATTTCAAGTATGTTCTTATCCTAACAGTTGGGTACAGGGTAGCTAGAATCTACCACCCTGTGCCATCTACACTTGCAATTTATCAAAATTGGACGGGCACAACTGAGATGACAAGGGAACTGAAGGAAATTAAGAGCAGAGGAAGGGAGGGGACCTCGAATCTGCGAGAGGGACCCAGTTCCAGTAGCGTGGAGTGTCGCGCCACGCGATGGACAGCGCCCTCGCCGACACCATGTAGCACTTGGCGCCGGTCTCCCTGTCCAGCCACATGCTCTGCACATGGCACCGATAGAAATGGCCAGCGAGATCAACGGAGAGGCAAAATTTCTTACAAGGGCTGATTGTTGGGATCCGCCGTATTCACCGAGACCACGAGGAGTATTGTTAGTGTACGTACCATGAGTCCGCCTGGGAGGAGGACGTGTCTGCCGGAGAGGCGGAGGAACAGGTCTTTCTTCCTGCAAGGCTCTCCGTCGGTGAGCGGCGGGAGTTCGTCCAGCGGTGGCAGGAAGCAGGACCAGACGGTGTCGGAATCGGCCGCGGCACGGAAGGCCGGGGAGACCACCGCAGCGCGGCAAGCGTCGCGCGGCGACGTGCGGGAGAGCGCCACCGACAGCAGCTCCTCCGGCAGGCGCGCGATCTCGCAGGGCTCCATCGGCCCCTCTTGCGGTCCTCTCGATTCGATTTGGTGGAAACTGTCACGAAGCACAGAATGATTTGGTCTTGTTCGTGTGACGAAGCAAGCTAAGTTATTTCGAACGAGATGACCCAGTCGGCGTGGAGTAGGTGTCGAGCAACGATTGCACTCTGGCATTTAGTAGTACTCCAAGCGCTTTTATGTTACTCCCTCTGTAAACTAATATAAAAGCATTTAGATCACTAACTTAGTGATCTAAATGCTCTTATATTAGTTTACGGAGGGAGTAGTTTACAGAGGGAGTACGAGCACACAGCACACGTGGATCCATATACTGATCTAAATGACTGAATCAATACTGGTTGGTTGATAGCTACGGTGCGTATAGCATGGGCCACGGGCACGCACGCGGCAGCCACGGAGCAGCAGCGCGTGTGGAATGAGGTCGTTTATTTGGCTCCCTGTCAGGCAAAAGACTTATCTCAAGGAACATCGCGAGCATCCACGCACAGCGGAGGTGACTTTCCTCATGTTAGAGGATCCACTTCTACAGCGGAGGCCATTCGCTCGTAGCCGGAGCACCTTGGCTAGATGGTCCAGCCTCTGAAACCAGAATACCAACTCCATGGCGGCTGATCCTACCTTTTGGGTCCCTTTGATTCAAAGGATTATTATAGGATCTTTGAATGATTAGAATCCTTGATTTGTAGGATTGAATCCTGTAGGAAATTTTCCTAAGGATTCATTTGTACTACATTTCACAGGAATTCCAACATCCATTCCAACATTTTAGAAGAAATTCTTTGTTTTTCCTGTGGCACAATCAAACAAACTCAAATCATATACTCCCTTCATTCCTAAATATTTGTCTTTCTAGAGATTTCAACAAGTAACACTTACGGGACAAAACGAGTGAATTTACACTTTAAAATTGTTGAGTATATGTGTTGTGCATATCTGTGCATTGGGCCCACCTCCTAGTTGCCTTGTATAATTGAGGTTGTGGCCCACCTTTGTACATCATATATATGTGTGTTTTCATCTGAGTAATACATCGTGCAATTCCCACAACATATATAGTATCAGTTTCTTAGGTTCCAACCGTAGCTTCCGCCACTGCCGCCGCTGCTCCAGCCCGCCGCCACGCCTCTCCTGCCGCGCCGCCGCCGCCCTCCCTCCCCCTGCCACCGCACCACCCCTCCCCGCCGCAGCTGCTTCTCCCGCTTGCCTCGGCCGCCCGATCACCCCTACTGACGCGAACCAGCCGCCGCCGCCCCCACGCGCCGCCGCCCAACCTTCATGTCGCCGCCGCACCTCGCCGTCGTGACCTCCTCCCCTCACAAGTAGCCGCCGCCGCTCTCCTC